AATAATAATAATAATAATAATAATAATAATAATAATAATAATAATAATAATAACAATATCCTACCAGCTTAACCGAATGAACATTCTGTATTTTCCTCGCAGAATGGCTTCCCTCGAACACCTGTTTAATATCTAAATCGATCAATTAACTAATAAAGATATTACTCTGTATTTGCCAAAACAGAATAAGCTCCTTTGAACATTTTGAAGATCTTGATCGATCAATGATAATAGATAACATTTGTATAGCGCAAATCCCCGCTCAACAGCAAGCTCTATGCGCTTCACAATCTATACCATTACCCCAGCAGACCTGAGAGCATTCTGAAACAACCTGAACTTCCTGGGAAGCTTACAGTGCAAGGGGTCATTCATAGGAGTTCAAACACAAACATACTGACAATATCTTTCGCTGTCTATGGCCGGGAACCCATTCCCACCTTGATGAAGTGAGGAAAAATCGAGTAAAGTGCTTTTCCCAAGGACACAACGTCGGGCCCTCGGCTCAAACCCCCCGAACCCGCAACCTCACGATTACTAGTTCGATAGTTTAACCACTTGGCCACCGACGCCTCATCAAACGACTAATTAAACAATTACTCTGTATTTTCCAGACATAATGACTTCCCTTGACAACACATTCAAGATCAATCGACCAATAACTCTATTGTTCTGGGGTGTTTTTTTTTACCAGAATGATCTCCCTTGATGACCTATTTAAGATTATAATCGATCAAACAACTTATGAACATTATGTATTTCCCTTACATTGTAAGCTGGCTTGACAAGTTATTTAAGATCTTAATCGATAAAACGACTTTTAGATTTATTTCTCTGTATTTTCTTACCTGAATGAACTGCCGTGACGACAAATTTGAAATCAAACGAACAATAATTGTATTACTCAGTATTCTCCTTGCAGAATGAGCTAACTTGTAGATATATTTTTAAGATCTTAATCGGTCAAAGGACTAATGAACGTTCTGTATTTCCCTTACATAGTATGCTAGCTTGACGAATTATTTACGATCTTAATCGATCAAACTTCCAATAAATTTATTATTCTGTATTCCCCTGACAGAATGAGCTACCTTGACACATTTAAGATCAAACCACCAATAAATTTAAGATTGTATTCTCTGGACAGCATGAGCTGACTTGTGGACATATTCAAGTTCTTAATCGATCAATCGACCAATCAATTCATTATTCGGTGTTTTCTTGACAGATGAGCTGCCGCGACACATGTAATCTATTCACTGCCAGGCGCAATACTCTTGAACTATTGGGTAGGGTTACAGAGCTGGTATGGTAGTGACAGGGTTAAGATCAATCGAGCAATACATGTATTACTCTGTATTCCCCTGACAGACATCAACGACAAATCAATCTATTATCCTGTATTCCCCTGACAGAATGAGCTCCCTTCTACATCAAACGACCAATAAATTTATTGTTCTGTATTCCCCTAAAAATCAAAGACCAATAAATCTATTGTTCTGTATTCCCTGACAGACATCAACGATAAAAAAATCTATTATCTTGTATTCCCCTGACAGAATGAGCTCCCTTGACGACATGTTTAAGATCGGCCTCTACATCAACGACCTCAGCATGCACGACTCCAGCAGAGACCTGGTTTTGGCGGGAACTCAACAGTCGGCGGAACTGAAGCTAGCTCTAGACCAGGTATCGTCTGCCACTCAACTGTTCAGACCTACTAAAATTGTGATTTTTTGTTTGTTTCTTTATTTGTTTTCTTTGGGGGGGG